TAGTGCGAATCGAACAACGTTGGAACAAGCTAAACCCATCACTGTACAAGTGAAATTACGAGGGAAATGTGTTCAATCGGTTGAAAATGTATTTAATCACTTCATCATCGAGAGCTCGAAATTTACCACCGTTGCCTTCGATGTGCAATTTCACACGCCGAGAATTTTATTTATTAGGTGTTGGAATTAATTCGTAGCGTTTTACAAGTGATGGGAAGTACTTTCATTAATGTATTTTTTAATGCTCATGTGAAATAAATAACATTCTTTCATTAAAAACGCTACGAATTAATTCCAACACCTAATATAATTTATTATTCGTTACATGCACCGGGATCTATTGAAAAAGATTCATCATTTTCAATTTCCGCATAACGTGAAAATGCCACCCCGTAATACATACTTTTCTCTTATTTCTTGCATTTCGTACTGAAATACTTTGGATTTTTGCAATGTATCATACTCCTTTTTGAGAAATATTCTATTCAATTATTATTGATATTTATATCAAAATTCTGAAAATAAAATGCTCACCTTGGAAAAGAAATGATTTTTAAATGTTAATTGTGTATATCAAATAATTAAATATTATAAAGGATAACAGTAATAAAAGTTGAAGAAAAATAACCGTCTCTGAATTTGAGATCTCATTAACAGTAAACGAGTCAGATACTACTGGGTGTCGGTGACAAGCAATCTCTCTCTCTCTCTCTCTCTCTCCGGGAGATGCGGGGTGCATTACGTCACGTCCACCGGCTATCAGAACGCTTGCACGCAGTAAAAGGGAGAACAGGGGGATCTTATAAGCCTGGCGAGTACGTGCACCTGCTTTGTACGCTAAACTAAAAATGACGTTCGGACGACGGTAGCGCAGGGCAACCGGCTATTAAAGCGGAACTACTCGGCAAAGGCGAATCTTCCTGCTCGAAACGAAGTCGACGACACGCGTATTTCTGTCGCGCGTCGTAAACGCCGTCGTCTTTATCTTTCAATCAACGCACATATACTTTTCATATTTCTGACCTGGGGGCCGCCTTATTCTCGAAAAATATCGCGTATTCGGAAAATACTCGGAAAATCTGTAATAAATGTAACTTATACATATACATACCACAGCATTTTCGTAAGCGATATTTTTCGGAAATACACCCGCTGGCCGTGTCTCGAACGGTAAAGTGCGTACGTATTGGTCGGTGAAATTACAGAATTTGCCTTTGAATCCACGTCCGAAATTAAAACTCGCGGTTCATTCTCTGCCCGGTGGACAATTGTTCGGACAGAACGTAATTCACGTTGGAAGAATTTTCGTGTAACGAATGCGTCGACAAGAGAATCTTTTCCGCCTTCGTTCCATATATCCCTTTTCTCTTTCTCTTCCCCCCCCCTCCCCCCCCCCTCTCTCTGTCTCTTTCTCTCTCCGTTCCCCAGTCCCTTCGTTCGTTTCCATTCTTTTCCCTCCGTATATCGTCCCTTTCTAGCTCGTCGCTTCCCACTCTCGACGTCTCCGTCTCTTCGGTCGTCGCGTCGGCCGTTTTGTACTGGAACGCACGCAGGATCGATATCTCAGAGTCCCATATAAAATGTCTATAAAAGCGAAGTGGAAATATGCGCGAAGGAGACGACCGTGACAAACGCGCGGAAATGGGGAAAAAATAAATTAATTAAGGGCGACGCCGCTGTGCGTATCGGCGCTGGGCGTTAGACGTTAGACGTCAGCACGAGACCTATATCCGGTGTAGAGAGCCTCGTTGAAGAGAAAGCTACGGAACTTGGGAAGGAAAGAGCTCTCCGTGAGCTTGCCGTGGCAAAACCATCGCCGCTATACGCTAGATATATCCCGTGCGAAAGCGAGTCAATTTTGTCATCGTAACCGATCGCTCAATATTACGACAGAACTCGTTTCTTATTGAATAACAAGACGTCCAAGTTGAAATATCAAATCTAAAATTAGGATTCGGATTCCAATCGAATTCGAAAGAATTTCCAATCGGCGTGTGTTTTAGTTTCGTAAAAATTTTTTTTTTTTTTTTTACAAAACTAAACGGAAAGAACGAATTTTGCTCAAGTATCCAGAAAATTTAGCTAAAATACAGATCTGATAATAATTTTGTTGGACTATCAAAATAATTAAACGTAGGAATCTCGAGCATGATGAGGAACGCTGCGAAAACTTTTGACATTCTTGCAACCAGTTTAAACGTCCTAATTATTTAGATGGTTGAACAAAATTATTTTCAGATCTGTATCTAGCTAAACTTTTAGATACTTCAGCAAAACCATTTCTTTCCGGGTATAATCTAAAATGTCCGAAAGTTTATCTGTGATTTATAGAGACATTAAATTAAATTTAATTAAAAATTACTATCGTTACACACACACACACACAACGCATCATTAATCGTCCGTGTTGCATTAATTAAGATGCGAAACGCGAATGTGTTATGTGACAACATTCATTTCTCAGTCTCGACCGAGTATAAGATTCGTAATCATCATATTCTCCAATGTAGACCTTCGGTTAACGCGACTCGCCACTCGAGCCTCTAGAAATTGTTGTCGAGAGTTTATAACGCGTTTTACTATTCTAAAAATTACCGCCCAGCGGCGGGCGGACATGTGCCCTTCATTATATACCTCGATATACCTCGACCCTTCCCTCGCTCTCCAACTTTCTCTAAAACCGTCTTGCCAGTCGGCGTCGGCGTCGGCGTCTGCGTCTCGTCTAACTGCACAAAGAAAGAAAGACAGAGAGGGAGGAGAGGGAGGAGAGGGAGAGGGAGAGGGAAAGAAAGAGACGCGAACCGTGCAGCTCGCACGGGCGGCCATCTTTCCTCACGCTTGGAAAAGAAGAACGACGGACTCGCCTGACGGAGTAACCAGCAGCGTGGAGTTTACGCACACCAACGCTAATACACAGCGCGTAACGCAACGCTCAACGCACACAGGCAGACTGACAAGCCGTTATACGTTATACCTGGAGAGGATCAAACATCAAACGTACGTCCGAATCAAACGCGCGCGCGGCCAAAACTTGAAAATCACCGGGCCATACGCTCGCAAGAAATTCAATCCTCGCGAAAAACAATCTAGTTGAAACAATGAACGAATCTCTCAGGAAAATCTGATTACGTCAATTACAATTCTGGCTGCCTCGATTTATTAAAATTCTAGTAAATCTAGCTAGTTCCTGATTCGCTCGTTTTCAACTAACACTTCAATTGATCTCACCAGCCCTTTCCTCTTTGCAATTTGCGCCTTCAATTTTTTTTCGAAAGAAACCTCGTAGAGATTATTAAATTAAATATCGTTACAAAATATATTAGCGTGATGCTCGTTAAATCTCTCTGTAATTTAGCGGAGATATTTCGTATTCCGTCGTGATGCTCGTCATAACTCGAAACATTGAGAAATATTGCTTGCGGTAATTATAGCGGCGTATTAACGTGGCTTTCCGGAGTAATCGGAAAGTATGATGTCCCATTAACCTGACACCGCCTTTCCGGTCATTCTAGGCTACGTACTTTAATAAGCAAGACAGATACCGGGCAAGGCAAATACGAAATGCCGCTGGAAGAAGAATGACGTTATTAAATGACGGCGCGTCTCGCCGGTCTCGTCGAACCTCGCGAATACATTCAGCCTTGGACATTTTCATACGCTAGACCGAACGCGCCCGCGAGCTGCAACTAAATTACGGTAATTGCAAACTTTCTCGTTGACGCGTACGCGTATTCGACGTACGCACGCACGCACGCACGCACGCACGCACGCACGCACGGCGCGGCGTTGCGGTAATGAATGCCACAACAGACCGATGGTCCTCAAGAAACGCAGGTGTCGCCATCAACGGTTAATTTTGACGCCTCCCGCGTTTGTGTTTATATTTGTGAGATTAGAAAACGAGAGAAGAGCAGGTTCAGCATCTTCATTTCTGATGAAAAGACAAGTTTGAGCCGTGACCAGGCGATTCAGATTTACTTAATACCGTAAGAATTCGACAATGACGCGTAAGCGACATATTTGCAACTATAATTTTCTCTAACGTAGTTGCGATGGCAACGAGCATAAACAGTGTTGTACGGTAAGGCTTAAACTTGATCGTCCTGCGAATATTTTTTTATTTTCTTCGTTTGCGGCGCGTCCCAAATCCACGACGATTATTTTTCATGCCTGATACTTTATGTGGATTAACTTTCGACTTAAACTTGGAAATTTCAAAGTTCACCTAAACTTGGACCTGAGGCTAAGTTTATACCCATCGATCTTGCATTAACAGAAGAGCGAGAAGAAGAAATGGAACATTGGTAAAAGGATTATGTTGAGGCTTACAAACATGCTTACGATCCACGGCATCCTTTCGCACGTCCCTTTCCTTCTTTCGGTATTTTACTATTTTCCCTTGGTCGCCACGGTTCGATTCAAACTTGAACGGGAGGAAGGAACGTGAAACTTGACGACTGTTTTCAAACTGTTATGGATTAACCGCATTTCGGTCACGGCAGTAACGGCACACGAACAAGCGAGAGAAGCGAGAGAAGCGAGAGAGAAAAGAAAGAAAGAAGGAAGAAGGAAGAAAGAAAAATGGAAGTAAAACTGACTCACCGGTAATGACGTCAGCCGTGGAAAGCAAACCGGATCTGAAGTTTTCCCGCGGCAGACGGCGCGGGCGGTCGATCCACCGGCGCGGCGATTCGATTCACCGGCCCGGCCTGGCCGGGCGGGGACGACGTCGACGACGATTCTTCTTCCGTGTAGCAATTACGAGGCACACACGCGCGCCCGTACACATATGGTACACACACACGCGGGGCGGCGCGTATCCTATTTAGAAAATTCGATCGGCCGATCGATCCGTGAAATCCGCGACGCCGCTTCGTCACTCCACAGCATACTTGGTGTCGGCGAGCGTGCGCGCGCGCGCTCGCTCGCGGAGAAAATTCGTTTCTATCTTCTTTCCTATCTCTTTTCGGCTCACCTCCGTACCACTTGTTCCTCCTCTCCCTCCTCTCCTCTCGTTCCGTGCTCCGTTTACTCCACCCAACTACGTTTCGCCGTCTTCCTCTTCTCCTCCTCCTCCTTCTCCTCTTTATCCTCCTTCTCCTCCTCCTCCTCCTCCTCTTCCTCTTCCTCCTTCTCCTCCTTTTTCTTCTTCTTCCCGCTTTCTGCCTGTCGCCGCACTGCACCGCGCACTGTCTCACCCGCACTGTCTCCACGTGCACTGTCACGCGGCACCGCACACGCGCGTCGACACTGCCCGTAGAATCGCCAAAACTCACGTCTCTTCCTCTTCTTTCGCCGCTTCTTCTTCGTGTCGCCGCTTCCGCTGCGATCTCTGCAGGAAAGACGAGGTCATGGGAAACTTGGAGTTAATCGCCGCCGAGACGACGATCAACGTCGCTACTCGCAGGAAGAGCGCACGCGGCCGATTCGAAAAGCGGAGAAATATTTCCTATTTTCGCGTTTATTCGCCCAAGATATTTCGAGAGACGTCTGCCTCTCTATTCTATTTCAACAAATTCACCCTTAGAACAATATTCATCTAATCATTCTTATCTATCGCATTTCGTTGTGTCCGAGGTGTCGTAGGGTAACCGTCCGTTGTTTATGTTATTATGTCGCCATTTATTTTTACCTAAATAAATTTGGATGCTGGCCACGGATGCCAAACAACTCTGATTACGAAGGGTTTCCTAGGTTAGTACACCTCGGTTACGCAATCCGAGTATTTCGAATCGCGCCACGTTTATCGTCGGCTTCATTTTACGGGCGAAACGGACCAAGTAACCGCGACACGCGTTTTGTTTAATCGAAGAGCGTTGCACCGACCAACAGTATACGTGTAGAAGACACACGCACGAAGACACGTGTTCCGTCACGAATTGAAGACGCAAGTATATGATCCGCGCGCGCGTGCGTTATTAATAAAAATTACAATATATACCGATGTAGTCTCAAGAAATGAATCCTCCGACACAAAACGTGACAAATTTTCAATTTAGATTTGTATATATAAATACTGGAGCGATTGAAAAATGGAAGCGTATGTTAATAATTGCAAATTTTCTATGTTTTATGCAGATGTTGCAGAAATCGTTATAAAAATCAAGTTCAACATTAACGCTCCGATTGACATTTTTACGGCGTATGGCGTATTTCCGATCTTTTGTTTCGGTCGACCTGACCATACGTTCGTTTCTAACAACGTAGATAAACTTTAATCTCAGTTTAATTTCTCTTTTATCCTTTTCTAGTTCGGAAAATGAGAAAAAAATTAAGAATGAGATTAAATCGAGATTGCAATCTACATTGATGGAAATAAATATTAAAGAAAAAAAAATAATAACAATAAAATAAAGAGTAAATTGAACGAGAATAAAAATTAAACTACATTGGTTACGCGCGGCGCCGTCGCGCCTTCGAGCAGCCAGTCGTTTTAACCGACTGACCCTATCGACGGCGAGCGATTAGACTGAAGCGTAGTGCTCGACTTCCGGTTCAGCTGTTCGCACAAAGATCCGCATGTTTCTCCGACCCGCGTGCCTCGCGCCGCAGTGTTTTGTTGCCCGTCGCTTGTTTCCGCTCGGTATGCTTCGTCCCGCTCCGTCCTACTCTCAGTTATCCCCACTCTCTCTCTCTCTCTCTCTCCTACCGTATCACTCGCCCCACCTCGTTTCCCCGTTCTCAGGCGCTCAGAAGGTAGGCGCACCTCGTGCGCCCGAGAATTTCCTCATTGACCCGCGCGCTCCGTATTCCACCTGCGACTCGTCATCACCGTTATTAATATCGTTCCCCGTTGCCGCCGCGCGGACCTCGTTATCGTTCCCATGGCGAGAATCGCGCTACCGTCGTCACCTCCGTTTTCATCGCCGCGTCGTTGTTGACGGCCGCATAAAACCCTCCTTCCTCGAGAAAATTGGGCAAGGAAAATTAGGCACGGAAGAATTGACCGATCGGTAGATCGGTTTTTATCGAACGATTGCGAATTAACGCGATTGAATGAAGTAATTAACATCATGCAATCGTCATGATTAACAAGCAGCTGCAGCTTAAATAATCAATTAATTGTAACTTTTTAAGTAGGAAACGCGCGAGTACATTCAGTAATTACAATTGGATCGACAAGTTGACGTGACATTTAAAAAGTAACGAGATTACTCGATAAACTAATGCGGTATCTTAGGCATCTTTGATAACTAGTAGAAAATTATGATTAAAGAATCTTACGTCATTCAATCGCATCGCGGACAAGTTAAACACGACTGTCAATAGTGTCAATAGTGTCATTCGTATGTTTTCGCATACGATAATAATAATTTCAATAAATCCGTTCGTTCCCCGATTACATGTGAAAATGTTCTCTCAAACGTCCCATTTTACGACGACATATCGCACGACATTCTGCATTACTGCTCTGATACGTTTGATATTTATTTTGTATGTTTCATTGACAAAATCACAGAGGAAAGGGAAAGAAGAAAAAAAAAAGAGAAACTGGAAAATCCTGAAAAACATTCGCGAAAGAGTTGGAAAAAAGCCCAAGGAGGACAACGTTCTCTCGATCTCTCTCTCTCGTCTGCGACGAGATCACAACGAACGATCCCTTTCTCCTTCCTTCCTCTTTTACGCGGTCAGACACGACTCTCCCGATACCCTTCGCGTGCCGCCGCCTCCTCGTTTGTTTCTTCTCGTCGTCGTTTCCATCCGACACGTCGCCGCGTCGAGTGCCGACCCCAATGCCCGAGAATTCTCCTCTTTCGACAGCTGACCGGAGCAGCGCTTTTCCTGTGAAACAAAATACATCTCTCATTAAAATATATTTCAACGATGCTAATCAACAACCAGTGATTAACGGCGGATTAATTATTTCAGGAAATAAAATCGCCATCTCTCTCTCTCTCTCTCTCTCAATTTAAATTTGTACTCCAGAATCCTACTCTGTAAAATTATTCCGATCGAATTATTCAAATCCTCAGACATTTTCTTTTTTTTTAAATCATTGCAGATTGTAGATTGCAGAAAATCAACGCGAAAATGGAGTCGCAAATTAGAATTAATCGTACAGGATAAATAAGAGAAAATAAAAATAAGTTGGTTGAAAATAAAAATAAATGTGTCTAGCGTCTGGTGCACAACTGTACGATAATATAAGAGAGTGACAAAGAAATTTAAAAGAATTCGCTTAGTTAATTACGAGTAGTATTAGAATGATGCTTTCATTGACTATTCGGTTTCCACTTCTTTTTCTCGGATATATATATATATACTAGTAGAAACTAATTACGTTACAGACTCGGCGGTGAGCACGATAGGAGGTCACGCGATAACGAACGAAACACTTGTAACTTCACAGAATATTCTATGTTTCGGTCTCTCTCTATTTTCCGCGTAATCGACGGCAATTACGTTCCGTGTATTTCCATGTATTCTAACCATAAATGAGGATGAATTAACACGCAAATGAGTGATCGAACGTAAACCGGTATAGTGGGGAAAAAAAAAAAAAAAAAAAAAACAAAGATGCGCGTTGTTAGCGCATCGATTTGATACGTCATTTATCATTATCTGCGAGGTTGATAGAGGTGGACTGAAAACACCAGATGTGTGGTAGAAAGAAATTACGGTTGCATCAAGTTTAGGATAAGTGTTCAATAATAACCGGTTATTGACCCGCTATCATATGCACAGTTTATAAATTCAAACAACTATGTAAAGTACACGTAGATAAGTTATAGAAATGATAAATGTACATACGAAATATAATGTAATATTAATCTTATTCGGACATATATAAAATACGTACTTGACAGTTTTGCATATTTTCTAAAAAATTTTATATCCGTCATATGTGCAACGTAATTCTGTAAATATGCAATAAATTCAAAGATCGTATACCCAAGTGCACTTCGGGTAATTTCGAAAAATGTCAAGTTTCCAGGAGAAATTCTTACAATAAGGATACCGTAAAGAGTGATTTTCGTTTAGAATTTCTCGCGTGAAAGTGCAAACTACCTGTACTACCTGATAAAACAAAATTTGTAAACCTTGATCGTGCGAGTCTATCTGGTCTATCGGTGCGCTCGCCGTCCGACGTCCGACGCGACGTAAAGAAACGTAATGTATTTCGCAGGAAATCCGCAGCAGCCGACGGAGATACGGCAATTACGGTCGGGATACGTGTACCAAGCACGCAATGGGGGCGATCGATCGTTCCTCGCGCAGTGGGAAATACTGCGGGAGAAAGCATCTGACACGCGTTTGCGAATTGCGCCCCCGGTGCCGATGCCGTATCCAAGGAACCCGGGTCGTCGATTCGCTGCTGTGTTGAATACGCAACAATAGCAAAAATGGCATCAGCTGTGCGGGACAGCCTGGCTCTCTTGCCATCGGTCTTTTTGTTACGCGGCTCAAAACAACTCAGGCACTGCCGCCTGCGACCAAATGGAAATTGAAATTATTTTCAAACGCTCGTCCAAAGACGAAACTGGTAACTTAAAAGTTAAAACTTTACCACGTTAAGAAGAAAGTTGAAGAGAAATTCAATTGTGATCTCGAAATAAAATTTTTATATTATTCAAGCTCAATTTAAGCTTGAAATAATAATAATCATCGTATAGTTTACAGTTACTCTCTCATTTCATTCAATGCGGTACCTTATGTAACACTTTTAATTTGCTTAAATATGTAAAAATTTCGATTAGCTAGATACACAAATCTGAAGATAATTTTGTTACACCATCGAAGTAATGTAGGACGCTCGAACTGGATTGCTGGAACGTTTAAACTTTTTGCAATATTGTTCATCGTGCTTGAAATTTCTACATAACTGTTTTAATGATTAACAAGATTATTTTCAAATCTGTATCTAGCTAGATTTTGTTAATACTTGAGCAAAATCGTTCTTTGCCGTGAAAGTGCGATATAATTTTCACCAGAGTGAGAAAATTCACGAGTCGAGAAATGTTTAATCTCAAGCAATGTGTGTAAGCGATATACAAGGATTGCAAAGATTTATGCATACGATACTGAAGAACGGACGATCTCTCGATAGCGTTAATCGCGAGCAAACGAAACGCGCGCGATCGAAAGTTTTTTTTCTCAAGACTTAATCGCACACCTCCCGTGTTATTACGGCTCTCGCGCGATATAAGAAGTTGAGTCATCGCGTATAGTAGTGCACTAATGGTCGTCCACCTTGAGGATGTGTTTCCTTTAGGGTACCTTACGTGGCCAACTCCCCCACCTTGATCGCCGCGAATACGACGTGATCGGTCTCGCGATACTCACGTCAACTTACTATTCAGGTGGCAGGCAAAGAACAATGACGCAAGAATCGAGGCTCTCGCGCAATTCCGCGACACTTTCGCGAGAACGTTTCGAGAATGAACCAACCTATAGAAGAGAAGCGACAAATGAATTTAAAGGATATCGCGATGTTACTTTCTCCGGAAACGTCAGTAATTGATTTTAGTAACATTTCGGAATTTCTAGTTCATTAGGAAATCAATAAAGACTCTTGCATTAAAGAGAAAATAACTCGACAAGTTGTTTATATTTAACATAGAGACTGCATCTGCGCACTTTCTCTATTCGCTTTATCTCTTCCAAGTGTCCATATATAGATAATATTAGAGACACAATATAAATAGCTAAAATAAATTAGTGCGTATATTCTCACTGACCATTTATTGTGCTACGGTCGAAGGTAAAGTACGAGCGCTAAGAATACTCGGTGGTATCGAGAAGACGGAGTGTACTTGAATAATACGCGTTTCACACATAAGTGGTGCGCTAGGCGTACGTGTGCGTGCGTGTGCGTGCGTGTGTGTGTCGAGCGCACACAGCCGAGCGCAAAGACTCTTTCGCAGTGACGCAGCCGGACTGGAGGACATCTTATTGGCCGGCTAACGTAAACACGCGTATATAAGCACACCCCTTGTCCCCTTACATCATAGAGTCGAGATATCTTTTCCGATCCTTCTCCCCCTTTCCCCCCCTCCGTGCCTCGTATCCACTCCCGCCCTCGCATCTAGCTTCACCCATTCACCGCCGCGCCGGTGCGCAGGGTCTCGCATCTCTTTCACTCTCCCCCCTCCCCCCTCCTATCGCGACCGCGCTCTTCTAACCCCCCTCTTGCCCCTCTCGTCCCTCGCCGAGTGTTCGCGAAGCCCGAGAACCCAGCGCAGCGAGAACCGCGAGGAGTATTTCGCAGCGCGCGAGTCAACTCAGAGTCGGTTCTCCTCCCTGTGTGCACTCTGCACAAACAACTTTGCCACACGCATGCGAGTTCCACTTCACGGCAGCGAGTGCTAGGAGGGAGGGAAAGAGAGAGAGAGAGAGAGAGAGAGAGAGAGAGAGAGAACTCATTTCGTACAATGACGATGATGACGAAGAGGATAAAAACGACGGTTATCGCACGGCTTGTAACCCCTCGATTGGCCCGACGACTGACGGGGTGGTCCTGGGCCATCTTACTGATCTCACCATTCGAACCGGACACGTCTGGACTCCGCGCGACTCCGAAATCAGTCAGGAGGGATTGGAGGGAGGAGTCTGTAAATCGCGCGCATGCATATAACAGGCATTGCGAAATATGTTAGCAGAGTTTCAAAGTTTCTTTTCTTCGCAGAGATATCTACCTCGAATTTACTCCTCGATAAAAATAAGCCGAGTTATCGATACGTTAAAAATACTTGGTATAAACAAGGTATCGATCGACTTGAGGAAGTATCGAAGCGTTTCTGCCTACGCGCACCTATATAACCATTCAATATCTTTCGCGAGTGAATGCATTATGTACTCGATACGGTATTTATATCAGATTGATTAAAGAATTTAAGAGTCGATAAGACTTTAAGAGAATTACGAAAAAGCAACTATCGTTGGGGAGCGCGCGGGAAAAACAATTCGCGGAAATCGACAGCGACTTAAAACAACCCGCCGATTTCAACACACCGACCGTACATCCTTGACAGGAGCCTTGACTTTTCGGCGAAGCGGAGCGCGCATTGGCGGGCGTCGTAAGCAACAGCCGTGCTCGCCCGCTTCCCTTCGTCCGCGCGATATCTCGCACCTTCCTCTCCCGCATCTCTTTGCTACGCGCGCGTATGTACACTTTCGCCCGACTACTCTTTTTCCGGACGGTATCGATTGTAGCTTGTAGCGCGCGCGCAACGGACAGCGCGACGGCGAAAGTAGAGGCGATTCTACATCCGAGCGAAGCGCCGCGCCGCGCGTCAATTTCGCTGATGTAACAATGAAAACCGTCGGTCCTTCCCATGTACGCTCGCCCATCATGAATTTTCCCTCTTTAATTCGCCGTCGCGTTAAAATTGTTAAACCGCCGTTTAACAATTTTCTGTATCAAACATTCATTTCGCTCGTCATTTCGCGTAGCGAATCTCTAACTGTTGAATGAAATCGAGAAGAATGACGACACACGCGAGGAGCGATGAAAAGTACAAGGGTTATAATTCTTATAATGATGACGTTGTATTGTATGAAAAATTAGATGCGATCGCTATTGTAGGGGAGACCGGGGCTACTAATAGATTCATTTTTTAGTTTCGAATTTTTACGGACAAAATTAAGAGACGTATTAAAAAATGAATTCTACACCAGTTACTACATATTTGACTACCAAATAATATTTTAGTAATAAGGGGAAACTGACTAATATGAAAAAAAAAATGCATTTTTCTAATGCATTCCATCTGATTCAACTAGCCCTGGAACTAGCTCGGGTAATTGGACTAAGATTATTAAAATAAAGATTAATGTATTTT